CCATTCGATTCTTGTTGAAGAATCACAAGTTCTTGGTGAACAACTACCTACTGATCCTGCCTCATCCTAAGATGTGTCATCTTCGGTGAAGGGAGGATTTGGTACACTCTTTGAGCGTGAACACCTACGTTGGGAGGAGCTTTTTACGTGGATTCCGTATCAGGTATATCCCTCCCTAATCTTGGTTTCATATTTGGTCCGGTTTGGTTACAAGAACGAACCTTGAAAATGCAATTTTCTAAATTGGGAATAGGATTCCCGGATGGGGGTAAAGACATTTTTGAAATTTCGCCCAACCTTCCTACAGGGTTCGGCCATCCATATGATGGATCTCCCATCCCTTCACTATCAGCTCTAATGATAATACAACTAAGAACAGCGGCTACCAAGGTAAAGAGGAAAGGTGATAGAGGATCCCCTTGTCGTAAACCGCTATCGGCTGGAAAAAAATCGCTTACCCCCCCCCCATTTACCAGGATGGAATAATGACAGTTGCTAACACATCCAACCATCCAATTACACCACCTTTCCCCAAACCTACACTTCCTCAAAACCTCCATTAGAAACTACCAGTCCACCAAATCATAAGCTTTCTCAAGGTCTAGCTTACAAACAAAGCCTCTTTGCTTGGATCTCTTCATCTCCTCCACACATTCATTTGAAATCAAAATCTAATCAACTATTTGTCGTCCTCGAATGAAAGCCCCTTGTGCCTGACTAATGATGGAGGGGAGGGTTCTTTAATCCTCAAGGAAAGAACCTTGGACAGAATTTTATAAATACTTGTCACCAAGCTAATCGGTCTGAAGTCTTTAGGATGGATTGCATCATATTTCTTTGGGATTAGCGCCAAAAAAGTAGCATTAATGCCTCAACTAACTAAGTACTTATCACAAACTCCTTAAATACATCACACAGGTCATCTTTAATGACCTCGCAGCAATCTTGATAAAATGCTATAGTGAATCCATCTAGGCATGGAGATTTCGATTTATCCACTAGGAACACCGCGTGTTTAATCTCTTCTTCCTCGAACTTCCTTTCCAGCCACCTCATCTTCTCTTCATCCGGTATTGGCCGATCTATCCCTTATTTTCTCTCCTTTCATTCAGGGGTCTATTATAAATCGATTTAAAGTGGTCCACAAACCTCCTGGCAATACCCTCTTGATTAGTGAACACCTCCACTCCAATCTCTAACTTAGACACAAAAGTCTTTCTCCTCCTCCTATTAGTCACATCATGAACAAACTTAGTATTTCCATCGCCTTCCTTAATCCACTTGTGCCTTGATTTTTGCCTCCAACTTATTTCCTCTCTCAGAAGTACCTCTTCCAGGTCTTTTTTCAATTGTCTACTCTGTTCTCTATCATTCTCAGGCAAACCATTTTGAGATTATTTCTCATCCAGCTCTTCTATACTAGAAGTTAGACTCACTTTTTGTTCCTCAATTCTTCCAAATTGATCCCTATTCCACTCTTTTATTTTAGATCTTAGCCTCTGCAATTCCTTGTGAATCCTTACCCCTTTCCACTTTATTCCCCCCAGTTCCTGATTCCACCAAATCTTACTTTGTTCACAAAGTCCGGGTGGGTAAGCCACATGTAAAAGTGGAATTTTCTTCAACTCACAATCCGCAATAAAGCTATTAAACCTCCACATACTAGTTGTGATGGATTGTTGGGGATTACTAGTTTCTTCCAATCTTCCAATCTCCGCATACATGCCATTCTTCCCTCCTTTCTGCAGTACATTAGGTATGATCTTTGTTTTGGGAACCAAGTGAGGTTCTGGGAGCATCCTTGGGTGGGAGATCAGAAATGTGCCTTTCAAAGATCAATTTCCCTTTTTACTTTCTCCTTCCCAGTATAAAGGGAAACTTGTGTCTAATTTTTTTGTTCCCTTCTGAGTCAAACTTTGGGTTCAATTGGGATTTTGATCTTAGAAGAGACCTTAGGGATTCAGAACTTGGGAATGTTTTGCATCTAATCCAGATTTTGAATGGGGTGATATTGGACCTTACCTCCCTTTGGTATTTTTTCATATGCTTCTTTTTTTTTTTTTGATCAATAACTCTGAAAAGATTTCATTAATTAGAAAACTTTAGGATACAACAAGAAGTTGTGAAAGAAGCCAGCTTTAGTAAGCTGACCCGAGACAGAATTACAAATGTGCCCAAAACATATGTGTTCTTTGAACCCCTTGCTTTGCTAAGCTATCTTCCAAACTGTTGGCAGATCTCCTAACCCATCCCACCTGGATTGACATGTTCCTTGACATCCATTTAAGTCTTTAGAATTTTTCTTATGCTTCTTTTTTTAAGTCTTTGGTGCAACCTGCCAATAGCATTGTCCAAACTTTCTCAGTAAAAGAAGAATGGGAAGAAGGTGGCAAATTCTGAACCAGCTCATTCAACTGTGTGTCCTCATCGGTCACCACCAACTACTGGTTTTATAAAATTAAACTTTAATGGTAGTAGTGAGGGCAATCCAGGACCTTCAGGAGTTGGAGGTATCTTCAGAGATGAAAATGGGAAGGTGGTCGCAATGTACTCAGGTCGCATGGGGGTTGGTGACTCTCTTAGAGCTGAGATCTACGCTTTAATGGAAGGTTTAAGGAAGGCAAAGGAGCTGAATATTCAAAAGCTAGTTGTTGAAGGAGACTCAAAGCTGGTTTTAAACTGGTTAGGGAAGGACAGTGGACTCTGGAAATATGCCAATGAGAGAAGGGAGGTTAAGTGGTTATCCAGGGGGTTGGAAGTTCAATTTCATTGGGTGAAGAGAACTGCAAATGCCTTTGCAGATACATTGGCAAAGCAGGGAGTGAGAAGGGATCAAATGTTTTGGGTTAATTTGTAATCTTTTTCTTGTTCTCTTGGGGAGAGTTAAGTCATTTTATCTCTCCCCGGAGTGTTGTATGTAATCCTGTTTTTTATTAATATAATATGAGTGTTATTTTGATAAAAAAAAAAATAAGAAAGGGACCATAAAGGACTGATCGTCCAGCTTGATCAGGTGGGCTGTGTCTTTTTATTAGAAGAATCTATAAACCATATATTTTTGCATTGTCAATTTGTGGCCAGAATTTTTTTTTTTTATACTGTTCTTGATACCTTTGGGTGGGTTGGATGCTCCCCACGGTCCATGCAATCTTTTGGCTGCTAGAGGACATCAACAACAAGGGCAAAGTTTGGTGGAATCTAATTCCAATAGCAGTGTTTTTGTGTATATGGGAGAGGAATGCCAAGGTTTTAAAGATTTATCAAAAAAACATGCCAAGGTTTTAAAGAATTCTCTTCAATCCTTGATTTATTGGGAAGAATCAAAGTAAAGCTGTATTCTTTGTCCTCTGGGCATAGGGAATTTGAAGGCCTGAATTATAGCCAATTTTTTGATAGACATACTGCTTTTTGTTAATATCTTGCTAACAAAGCTGCATAATCTGGTGTACAGGTTGAGGAGTCATGGTCTAATCCTTGTGTTTTGATTATTAATGCAATACTTTACCTTGCCAAAAAATTAAAAAACACTTGCTAGAAAATAAATCTTCTAAATCCTTCATATATTTAGCAAATCTTGAGGTTGAGGATCCAATCAAATTTTGAAAAGATTTGACTATAAGAATCTTGAAAATATTTGATGGGGAGTGAACCGTTTGCACAATATCACATTGGATCCACATGAGTTGGCAGTAAAATTCTTGCGCTTACTGGAGTGGACTTAATGCTGTGGGCCTTCCAAGCAATTCAGACATTTATTGGACTTGGATTTGATGAACAGATCATATTTGTGAAACTATAATTATTGATCCATCATGACAACCACTAGAAGGCCCATATAGATCTAAAGGAAGAAATAGGTTCAATTTCCTTCCCTCAACAATTGGTTCTGCATCATAGTTGTCAAGGCAACACCTAGGCGACAAAGCACCCTTGGAGGCTCACCTCGCTCAATCGCCAAGCAGTTTTGTGTACTGTGTTATAAAATACTTTTATATTTTTTATTTTTTGACATTATAATTATAAAATAGACATTATTAAACTAGAATATTCATTTTATGTGTTTATATACTAATTTATTTTTATTATTTTCTTATTTGTTAGGGTTTAATCAACACAAACATTGCTAACTGTTGTATTTAACCCATGGTTCAAAGTATCGATACACCTTTGTGTATCAGCAAAGGTGTGTCAGTACTTATAATAATACTCCCCCCTTTCTTTTTTGGTTTTCAATTTCATTTATATATATATATATATATATATATATATTATTTAAAAAAAATGGGTTCTCAAAAACACCTATAAACAGGTGTATTGGAACCCCAAAGATACAATACAATACGCCCAATATACGGAGCGTATCGTATCAAAATTTTGATCCTTGATTGAACCCTCAATGATTTCAAAACCTAAACCAATAAGCAAGGGAAGAACTTAAAATTTTGTCTAATCAACACATTTTCTTCTTCCACCTTTTCTTTTCTTTTTTTCCTATAACAAAAGTAGGGGTTCAACTCCTATATTTTTTAAATTTTCTTTCCTTCTTTTTCTTCTCATAAAATGTTGATTTTCTAGACTTAAACATGAAATTTATACTTCTCTTATGAAAATTATGGATAATTATTAAGGAAAGATGGTTATGGAACCTAAGGGAACTACCCTAGGATATATGGTTTTACTTAAAAAAAAAAACCTTCGCCTTGTCACCTAGCCTCGCCTTGACGCCTTGAAAACTATGTTCTGCATTATTTCTTACCCTTTGCTCTCTTAGATTCTTCAACTTCTACCAAGTCAATCCTCACTGGTGCAGTCATTGGTGGTCTACTGGTCTATGCACATAGAGAAACTATCTCTAACCATGCACATTCCATCATATTCCATCATTCTTAAAAATCCTATCCAATGACAAAAAACAACAGGAGCATGGACATGCATGGTCATTGGATGATAGGTTGCAGAAAGGATCCAATCATGTAAAGAGTACAAGAATGCTAGCTTACCTGACGAGTAGATGTTTTTAACACAACACATTTCCCCTTCCTTTGTGAGTCCAAATCAACATTGGCACCATCTTCCTCTGCATCCTCTTCTGGGTTCATCTCCAAAATCTAAAAAGAACAATAGACAAGCATCAGAAGCCACTGCAGAAGGCACATCCAAGGCTTCCAAGCTAAACAATAGAGTGAATTGATGCATGATGATTCAGATTCAGGATATCCAAACCCAAAAAAAGAATATAAATTAAATAGAAAAGCAAGTTGAATAAATTGTGTTCTGGTTTCTTAACCTAAGCACCTAATATATGAATAATGCTTGCTAAAGTTTCCCAAAAGACAAGAGTTGCTCCAAATGATGAAAAATCATTCACAAGCTGGAACAGGAATAGAAACATCATTTAGTTGCTAACAAACAATTTTACTTGGGTGTTTAAGAAACTCCCAGAGCAGGTATTTTTGGACAAAATAACTACATTCACACCCAGCAGGAACTGACAGTTTGAGGAAAGAAGTAATGCAGTAAATTAAAATTTGCCATGGTGCCATTTTTTTTATAATTGTCATAGTTCCAATATTTCACTCTATGTTTTTTTCCACCCTATGTTTAATTCATGGCTTTTATCATCATACCCATCAGAGAGCTCCAGCTTAGTACATAATCCGAAACATAGCAAAATCAACTCGTGACAATTAAATGAATATGAGCCCCTCATATGAAAATGATACAAATTCCAAAGCTCTCTACAGCCCAATAGGACCAGCTCATGTGACATCTTTCCAGCCCACGCATCTACTTGAATACCTTGACACGTGGAAACCACATCATTTTTTTTCTTTTTTGATGAATAAACCACATCATTAGTCTACTACCCAATCATTTACCACGTCATTCACCTCATTGAGGGAGGTTTTGGAGCAATTTCAGCACTGCATCAACCAGTCAACCTGATGGAAGCCTCGACACCAGTGTTAGGGGCAGAAAAAGAACTTCTTGATGACGTCGCTCTTAACCATATTGGTTAAAAGGGATCAAAGGAGGTAGGTGCCAGTGATTCGTTTTTTGCTCAAAATTAAAGAAGGGAAGGAATCTAAAGAATCACAACTTGAAAAAGGGCAGGAGGCAATCACTACAAATGGATGTTTTGAACCAGTATGATTGTATGAATCCTGTTGAAGAGGAGGAAAGGACTGCAGATGCCCCAAGATCTAGTGAGGATCTGTCACTTAACTCAGAGGGGAGGATTCCAGAGGTGGAAGGTAGAACCAAAGGTATTTACCAAGGGGAGTGCAAAACCAAAAGTGATAGAGGAAACTTTGGAAGAGGGGACCCACCCTGTTACAATTGGCCTTGAATCTGTAGAAGAAATTGGAGAGAAAGAAAGGAAAAGAAATAAAGGTTTTTTGTTGGCTGATTATGATTCTAAGGTTTAGTTAAGAGACCTTATCAAACAAGACCTTTAACAGAAGAAGAAAAAACGCAGGAAGGTGATGACTCTTTCTGACGAAGGTGAGAAGTTAAGTGAGGCAACTGAGGAGGTTTATTTGGACGAAACACACTACATTGATAGGACTTTTGATTTAAACAAAGTGGGTGATCAAGCAGCGGAGGTTGGTAAAGCCCTAGGTTTACTTGTGTTGGGAGGTGAATCTTTCACGAAGAAGATGTTTAAAGAGTTAAAGGAACAATACAAGATGGCTGTAAGGGAGAATAATGGAGATCTTCAAACACATCCACCTTTGACTGTCGAGAGTTATAATGACTTGAGTATAATTAGACCAGAAGAAGTTGATAATGAAAGAACTACAGCATTGGTTGATGCTCAGTTTTTTGAGAAAAACAGAGTTCTAGAGCTGAAAGGATCAATGAGAACTTTTCTTGCCCGTTGGAATCCAGGAAGATTGTTGCAGGAAATAGAAGACTTAAAAGACAAAAAAGCATAGAAATATGTTGGTTTCAAAGGCTTTCACCAGACTAAAAGGAAGCCTATTTGGGATTGTAAAAAAAACAAGAAGTTGTTGAAGATCAAGAAAACCGTAAGAAGGCATTAGTATTATAGCAGATCAAACGTTGTAGCTTGCGAGATTGTTGTGGTTTTTGGTTGTTTTCGAGATTAGATGCATAATGGCGGGGTCTTGATGTGGTTCTTGTCTTTGTTGGCCTGAGCCTTGATTTTTTGTTTCTAGGCTGTTTTGGGGATCTTTAGCTGTTGTGGGGCTTTTGTTTTGTGGCGTTTATGTGGGTTCTGGTTTCTGCTGGTTTTTTTGGAGGCTAGGATGGCTTGGAGTGCTTGTGTTGAGTCTTGAAGTAATGTTACTTTTCTCTTTTCTCTCTATTGACTTCTGGCCACTCCCCTCTGCAACTTTTTTTTCTTTTAATAAAATTTATTTTTTTATCAATAATTAATAAATTTTATTTTATTACAGAAAAAAAGAAACTCAAAATAAAAAGAAAAAGGAAAAATACATGGAGAGCTTGATATACAGGCACCTACTGACCTCAACGATGTTCCCAACAAGGTAAGGAAGCTGTTTGTTAAGCTTGATCTTCTCTTGGTTCTCTTTGATCTTCTCCTTGAAGGATTCAAGCTCAAGATTCGTTCTCTGCAACTCCTCCTTCCATTTTAAACAAAACAAGTAAAGATCGAACCAGAAGAAAATGAGATTGAACGAAACCCTAAAAATTAAACTTTAAAAGAAATGAAAGATAAAAAATTCCTTACCTTGAGAATCCGAATCTCGTTGTCCAGAAGCCGAGAAGCCCTAGCGATGTCATCTACAGACATCGACGCCAGCTGATCGTCCTCAAAACTGCTATCATCGACCCTTGCTGCAGCCATTGCTTGAAAAATAAACAGGGGTTACGGTACAGAGAAGTCCAACAGCAACAAGAATCCGATTTAACGCTCTGGTATTGATTTAACCAAATGCAAAGGCCAGCGGCTCATGGTAAAGGGTCTGCATATGGATCCACCATGGGTTCTTGACGTCATTTAGGGTGTGTTTGGTTGCTATGCAATTTTATTCGCACTAGGATAAATGCATGGGAGTGCAAATGAAGAAAATGCAAATTCTAGTTTAATTTTGTTTCAGGTTTTGCTTTATTCTGCTTCATGTTTTAATTGACTCCATTTGTATGTAATCAAACAAAATAAGCTAAAATTTGAAACAAAGACAGGTCATAAATTACATTCAAATCATTTGCATTGCCAAAGTTTTGCATCAGTGCAAATTTATTTGCATTGCAACTAAACACAGTCTTAACAACCGTGTATATGAGTGGTGGGGCACGTGTAGGGATGGCAATTTTGTGGGAATTTTTTGGTATCCGACCCGTATAGACCCTAATAGGACCCGTTTATTAAAACCCTATAGGGTTTGAGATGAGTTTGGGTTTTGACTTTAGCGTATTCGATACCCGATGCCCGGGATGCATGAATATGAACTCATTATATATATCATGCACAGATTTATAAATTTTAAGTTCTAAGATAATTATTCTATTATTAATATTTTATTTGTATAAATTTATTGGGACTAAAATCATTATTTGATGTAAATTTGGATTTGATAGATTGTTTATTTCATTTAGTTGTAAAATGCTAATTTTAAATATTATTCCTTTTAATTTTCATTTGGAATTGTTAATCATATACATGTATTGATTGTTTTGATGAATAGAAAAGTTAATACAATTTATTTTATTTCATTAAATAACACAAAAAGTGAGATGGCTTAGTGGCTTAAAATAGTGTTACGAGATTTGGTGCTATTATTAATTGATTTGGGTTCAAGTCACATTATAAGCATTAAGAAGATACATAGGTGGGTTTGGGAATGGGTAAGGCAATTTGCACGGGTACCCTACCCACCATTCCGAGGCACGTGTGTTGCGAATGCCCACAACCCACTACCAGGCTACAGCCCCCCACCACTCAGACATGTGGCCTTCTCATTTTTCTGTAAAGCTATACACGTGTTTATCCATAGTCCATTAAATACAAATGGTGGAACTCATTAAAACATTGCCATAAACCCACCTTTGTTTTTAAATGATTTTTTTTTTCAAAAAGAAAATAATTTATTAATTACAAACTTGATTTAACTTCTAGGAAGCAACCTAATTTAACTTTTAAAAATAAATAACTCAAAATAGGCTTATTAGATAAATAGTAAATACCAAATAAAGTGGGTTATTGTTTACCAATAACATCTCATTTAATATCTTAAATCAAATTAAAAAAACATAAATTAATAGTGGGTTTCAAATAAAATAGGCTAGAATAAATTATCAATTACAAAGATGCAAGACCCATATTAGTTTTTTTTAAATTTAATTTTTGATAACTAAATAGTAAACTTTAAACTAAATTATGCATACATTTAGTTACCTCGTACTTAGTACGGGGTCATTCTCTAGTTTTGTGATTAAACTAAATTATACACGTGGCATTTTTTGAGAAATTGTTGCTAAAACTCACAACCCACTACCACCATTCAGACACGTGGCATCCTATTAATTCAAGAAATAGGATTCAAAAAGTGGGTAGTTTCACTCCTAAACATTATCAATAACAGTTATTTATTAGTTTAACACATGCTTATCCATAGTCCATTAAATACAAATTGTGAGACTCATTAAAACATTGCCATAAACCCATGATTGTTTTTAAATGATTTTTTTTCAAAAAGAAAATAATTTATTAATTACAAACTTGATTTAACTTTTAGGAAGCAACCTAATTTAACTTTTAAAAATAAATAACTCAAAATAGGTTTATTAGATAAATAGTAAATACCAAATAAAGTGGGTTATTTTTTACCAATAACATCTCATTTAATATCTTAAATCAAATTAAAAAAACATAAACTAATAGTGGGTTTCAAATAAAATAGGCTAGAATAAATTATTAATTACAAAGATGCAAGACCCGTATTAGTTTTTTTTAATTTAATTTTTGTTAACTAAATAGTAAACTTCAAACTAAATTATGCATACATTTAGTTACCTCATACTTGGTACGGGCTCATTCTCTAGTTTTGTGATTAAAGTAAATGGGTTTTTTATGATTACACGTGCGATGCGAATGCTATTTGAAAAATAATGGCAAAAAAAGTGAATGTGATGTGATAAAACATTAACCATTTTAAAACGAAAATACCCTTTCGTTAAAAATCTCACACAAAATAGGCAAATTTCTTAAATTATCATTGCTATTTAGCAAATTTACTAACTTTACCCTTACTATTTAACTATTTTTTTTAAATAATCGTTGTCATTAAATCGTAACAGAAAAGGACGAAATATCCATCTTGTCCTTAAGTTAAAAGAAAAACCATGAGAGAGACAAACTTCGGGAAGAGTCCAGTCCTGGCTTGGTCTCTACATTGTTGCAAACGAACTTCAAGAAGAGTCATGTACCTGTCTTGTACCTTGATCCCTAGATTTCATGACTAGGAAACATTGTCACCCAAATTGACAAATAATACCCTTTCGTTATACATTTTCACTGTTAAAATTATTTGTTTTCGGTGAATGTAGGGTGATATGTAGTTAAAGGCTTTGAATCTCATTTAGGTGGCATTTGGTAGAGTGTATATATCATGGATGGGACCGTTTTGGTCCTGTCCACGATAAGATATGACGTTCTGCTATGTGTGGATGGTCCCCGTCCACAAAATAGTGTGGACAGGGACGGATCGCACCCCAATTTATCGTCCACAATATTTTCTCGTGGATGGTCCACATTATGGTGTGGAGAGTTTGTGGGAAGGTTTTATTGTAACGCACTTGCATTACATTGGTCCAATTACTTTCATTTTATTTAATCTTTTAATAATTTTAATTGTTTAATATTTTTTCAATAAAATAATAAACTTTAATGTTAATCCTAGCACAAGTCCAATGGTTCTCCTTCTCAACTCTTTGTTTATTATTTAAATATTAAAATTTTAATATTTTTATTAATAAAATAATATTTGTAATATTTAAAATAATATTTTTAATTATTTAAAAATGCAATTGTTGTCTACATATTGATGTCTTTTTTTTCAATTTATTTACCATATAAAATGAAAATATTAGATATTTATGATCGACTATGTAAATCTCCCATAAAATGTATATGAGATACATGGAATAAAAAAGTTCCACACCACACCTACAAAACACCACCTTGGGTGTGGACTGGTTCGGTCCACACAATCTATTGACAATTAAGAACAACTACGAACTATGGTGTGGTGTGGATTGGTCCCTACCACAAGGTGTGGTGTGGACCACCAATTTCTCATCCACACTACATAACACCCCCTTAGACAATAAGTCAATAACTATCCATAGACATCGATAGTTGGTCCCTACTCTATGACCTTATGTGTCCCTGCCAAATCAGCCTGGGGATATGGGCATAATTGAGTTAGAAAGTTCTTAAAAGTATGAGAATTTGCTTTGGCCTATAAATAGAGAGCCCTTCCTCGATGAAGGGGGATTCTCACTCATCCTTTTCACAATCTTCTTAATTCCTCTCTTCACCATTCTTTCTCTCAACTTCAAGACCTAGACCATTAGCACCGCCACCTTACACCTGAGTTCAAGGAGCCACTACATTGGCTGACCAACTTATTATCAAAGTCTCAACCATCATTGGTTGTGTTCTTCAAGCACTTTAAACTACATTGTGCTCTTTTGTTATGTTAGGAAGAATTTTTGGTGATGGGTGTTTAGTATTTAATAGTTTGTAGCAATGTAGGTTCACTATTTGTGGCATGAGTTTCCAGATCACGTGCCCTAGATAATTTGAGTTAAAATAACTACAAACTAACTAATAGTAAGATAGCAAGTAGAACTATTAATATATTAAAAGATGTATTATAATTTATAAGTAATATTTAAATGAAATTTATAAATTACTCTGCCAAAAATAAATTAATATACGAAAATAAATAAATATCTATATGATGATCATACTGGATGTGTTAAAAGAAAAAAATAACTACAAAAGTAAGACAAAATGTTACTATTTTACACAAAATTAATGTATTTTATTAACATATAATGTACACAAAAAATTAATTAACATAATTAATTTTTTGTTTTCATTTTTTCTTATAATTTCTTCTATTATTTTTTTGTTAACTGAAAAATTTTAGTTTCTTTTTTTTTTAACTTTTCTATAGTTTCCTTCAATCACAATATTACTTATTGATATAGGATTTTCCTGTGCATCATACAAGGCCACACTAGTAAGATTTAATAAAAATGAAATATTTCAAATTTATAAAATATTTAGGACAAAAAATATAAAATCTTAAATTTAGTTTTAAAATGGATTAATAAAAATCATCATAAATAGATGAAACTAAAAAATGCCATAAGCCTATATCAAAGTAATAATCTATCAAAGTAATGGTTGAAATCTTGGATTGGCCCAAAGGAAAATGCCATAAGCCTCTTGCATCAATTTCATTTAATAAAACCCATGCATCACATGGATCCCAACAACTATAGATGCAAGAAATACAATGCTATCCCCAAGGTTCAAATTTTCGATACATATCGGGGCTTTCCCGATACACCCCTACAAGGGGTGTTTCGGGTTGGCGAGTGGTTCAGGGGATAGACCAGTCTTAAACTGGTCCCTCTGAACCAGATTCAAAAAAACTAAAAAAAAAAAAAAAAAAACAGTACAGATACAGGATGATACACCCTACCGGCGTATCGCCCTACTTAAATATGTAACAGTTGTACTTGATCATTTCACTTGTTGAGATTTTAGTTGATTGGAGATTTAATTGAGTCCATTAAAGCATGTCATTTTTATGTGTATAATATTTAAAAGTTGTGTTTAGTTTTATTGATGTATTTTTATATGTATCATGAATTTTCATCCATATCCATACGATACCCGAAAGATATCTTGATGTCTCTTAAAACTACATTTTCAATACACCTATTTCCAATATTTCGAACCTTGGTATAGGTTTTAAAAATCAAATCGATTCTTTATGAGATCAATTCTGGATACATCTCTATCCAACTATCCAAGTTCAATCCAATCCAGTCGTAGTCCTAGAAGAAACTTGAGTTGGCTTGGGTTGTCTTCAACTACCCAACTTGCACCCGTGATGGCTGTAAGCAAGAGTTTCAAGCACAGAGTCGTCTATGCCATCTCATCCATTGACGAGATGAGATGGCAGAGATGGTTATTGAAACCTGTATAACTGCAATTGAATGCCCAAGGAATATTCATCACTAACTGCAATTAACTGCAGTATTCCTTGGGCATTTAACTGCAATTGAATGCCCAAGCAAGAGTTTCAAGCACCCGTGAGGTCCACTGACTGCAGTTATACAGGTTTGATCCCGCAACTCCATATTGACAGGAATGCCCAATAACCATCTCAGCAATTGAATACAGCAAAATGGCAAAACAGTATTTATTAGTCCACCCCATATGGCTGGGACAAAACATCCAAAAGCACCCTCAAATTTCTATTAGGTGACAACTTCCAAGAGAAAAATTAGCATGTTCTCTGTGTTTCCTCTGGATGTCCCCAGTCCTATCAGTCACCTACCATTTTAAGATCTACATTTCCAAAACACAATTAGAGTTATTAATTAAAGGTCAGATCGATAAATTCAAACACATTTATTCTTAATATAAGGTAGATAATGAATTTAGGAAGTTTTTGTCACAAAATTGTTTCCAATTGATTTTCACAAAATAATGAAAATTTATCAATATTTTATTTGAATATTTGCACATAACAAATTGAAAATTTTACCAATAGATAGAAAATTTGAAATATCAAAAAAATATTTGAATTTTCTTCTATTATAGAATGTTCTCATAGAAATGGTAAATTTTCGATAAAAAATCATTGTTTCAACTTTCAAGGGTTTTGAGAATCAGGATTGCTCCAATTCACCTCATCAAATTTCTGTAATTACATAAATACCTCCTCTTCATAAATGTCCATTGTAACATGAAGGACATTGAATTAGTAGGAATGAAGAAATCTTAACATGAGCAATATACAAGACTCAACTGCTTTTCATGAAGTACATTCCTTTTTATATCATTATCCCAATGAGTTGGATTGAAGGCATAGAGCATGTGATAAATACTGAAAATATGAAAACCCCAGCCTATTTGCTTATGACTAACCTTGAGCACATATGTTGTGCAGTTATGGTTGGATTACCTACAAATATAGAGAAGCAGCGAAGACAATGTCTCTCTTGATCTTGGAAACAGCTTCCTCAAATTTTGATTCTAACTGGGTTTCTCCTATTGATTTTGCTGCCAGTATAAGCTGCTGGAGAACTTCCTCCAATCTCCTGATAGCCCTGATAAGACTGCCCTCAAAGACCTGTGTAATTTCCATTATCTCATAGAATTTGGATCCTTTTGCCCATGCATACACAGCCTCCATGATGTCAGGTCGGAAAGAATTTACAAAAGCCTCCACATCAATTTGGACCTATTCCATCAAAGAGATCAAGAGCAGAAAACAAAGGAAAGAACCCATGCATATAATATGCGCAAAATATAAAAAGAGTGCTTCACAGTCACTGCATACACTCCAAAGGAATGAAACACATGGAATATGCAAACCACTTAAAAATAAACAAAATAAAATAGATACGGCCTTGTAGCAGCATGCACAGTTTCACTTAGGCTATGTTTGGTTTGAACAGGAAGGTAGGAAAAGGAAGAAAAGATAGGGAAACCTATACAAGATTTGTAAAAGTTTCCCTACTTTTTGTTTCAAACTAAACATAACCTTAAGTGTGTCTGACATCCATGCTTAACATTGTTTTGGTATATACTCTCTGAAAACCCTCATGGACCAATTATCAGAATATCTGGTTTATTTCCTTATCCGGAAACTATTTTACATCTCAGATCTGGAACAATTCATTCTATATAAGTCAAGTGTACCATGTCAGTATGGCCTCTTGCTTCAAACCCCCTTTCTAATTTTCACTTTTTTTTTGGTTTTTTTAAATCCAAGTAAATTTAGGAAACAATCACTAGCAAGAAACTATATAAACAAAGATATTTATGTCAAACGACCATTTGACCAATTACTACAAAGACAGGGAAGGTGGAAGGGTCTCTCATCGTAAAATACATTATTAGAGTTGTAGCTGCCCTTACCCAAAGTCTGGCATGGATTGCCATGTGGCCAAACCAAGAACAGACAAATGGCCGAGCTGAGGTCTAACATGTCATTGAAAGGATGTATGTGCTGCGGAACTATGATGTGTCACCCTCGAGCTCATGTACGTGACCAACAGGCCAGCACCGAGGAAACATGACATGTCCCAGACGTAGTGGGACGCGTGGCACCCACGAGCTCTGTGCCAACTGCCAAAGTCAGTACAACAGCTCAAGGCCCCCCGCCCATGATGGCACATGCAAGCCACATCGAGGAATGGCTCAACCAAGGACCATTTGCCACAACATGTGTCCCACGAAAGGGAGGCACAATGGCTCTCTGGACATTTATTTAAGGGCACGCCACCCAGGGTAAGTTTCTATGCACTCTAGCAACATGGACAGGACCAGCACAGTCTCTGACCCGACCAATCACCATGCTGCTCTGAGCATTAGTTGCAGCACAGCACCCAGAACGGCCAGCTCTTCCGTACCCAAATTCCAACAAAGAATCGGCTAGGGCTGCAGGCTGCATAAGTTGTTGGGTTCCTGCCTAACACAGACACTAATTTGAGATAGCAGTGGTCTCCTGAAGAGAGAGAGAGAGAATCGAAACAAATGTAAACTTCTCTTATTCCTGATCTACTATTTATGCATGTATAATGTAGATTTCTAGCAGCTGTAACCACTCAAGAATCAAGATTCCCACTTGTATGCAAGGTGCCAACCAGCTGGTTGGTAAGGTCTCCTGCTGGTTAGTTTGTTGAACAGCTGGTTTAATCCCACATGTATTCTTTCTTGAGTACACCTAAATAATAGGCTTGCTCTGTTTTTGGTTTCTAACAGTTCCTCATCTCCTCACTCCCAAAGCACCCTTGTCCGTGAGGGTGAAGTGAGGAAATTGTTGGCGCAGCAATGAGCAAGCTTCCCATGTAGCATCTTCTGGAGGTAGTCCTTGCCAGGCAACTAGGGCTTCCTAAACCAGCTGCTTGTTCTTCTGTGTCCATCTATAACCCAATATTTGTTGGGGCTGAAGCAAGGGTTGGCTATCCTAATCAAGGTAAAACAGGGGATTATGACAGTTGCAGGTCCTACATGGCCTTTGAGTTTTGATACACAGAAAACAGGATGAAGTCGGCAATGTTGGGGAAGGTCCAAACGGTAGGCAATTGACCCTACCAATTTAGTGATAGTGAATGACCCATAGAATCTTGGGGAGAATTTGTGCCAGGCTTTCCCCGCCAATGTGGTTTAACGGTAGGGAATGAGCTTTAGTTAGACCAAATCTCCCACATTGTATTCAACTTGACAATGGTGTTTGTCATACTGAGCATTCATCTGCTGATGGGCCCTTAATAAATATGCCTTGAGCTCTTTAAGAATGTTGTCTCTTGTTGTTAGATGTGTGCCACTGCCAACAACAGCTACAGAGGTGGAACCTTTCTCATAAGGAAGAATGGGGGAAGGATCACAACCACAGAGTGCTCTGAATGGGGTCATACTCATAGAAGCATGGAATGTGGAATTATACCACACTTAAACAACCCATGGTGGCCAATGGGTGTGCCATGGAGGCATGTGACCTCTCTTATGAATATAGCTGCCACTGATGCCGCAGTGTATGGGTGAGCCAATGGGATAAAATGAGCATATTTAGATAAATGATCAACAACTATTAGGATAATAGAAAAGCCTTTTGATTTTGGTAGGCCCACAATGAAGTCAAGGGAAACTTCATCCCACCCAATAATAGACGGAAACAATATGACAGGATTCCGTAAGAGACCTAAACATCCTCCTTTTGGGGAGTTGTGGTATAATTGCAATAGTTGAGGCAAGTGTGCAGAAGTAAAAGAGAGGACCATATGTCCTTTGTAAAAAATAGTTGAACCTTCCACCAAATATCCAGGTACTGATGTTGGGTCTTGGGCCCATTTGGAATGAATCAGCTGAATATTAGAGTCCTCTTGGGCTTCTTTCTTGAAAATGTCCAATAATAGATAGTGGGGCTGTGAAACTAATAAGTGGGAGAGTTCATGCATATAAGGTAGTGCATCAGCCACTTTATTGGAAGTCCCAGCTTTACATTCGATCACATAATCAAACGCCATAAGCTTGTAGGCCCATTTGAGTTGAGCATCTGTATAGACTTGCTGTTCCAACAAATGTTTCAGAATTTGTTGGTCCATACAAATAATAAATTTGCAACCCAACAAATAGGCCCTCCATTTTTGGACTGCATGCACAAGTGCCATCAACTCTCTTTCATGTGTGAACTTGCAAAGTGACTGTCCATTGAGTGTCTTGCAAAAGTAGGCAATTGGCTGACTATCTTGCATAAGGACTCCTAAGCCACCACCCAAGGCATCACATTCAAGTATAAAAGTCTTATTAAAATCAGGTAGAGTAAGTGCAGGTGGGATGGAGAAAGCTTGTTTTAATTGATCAAATGTGGATTGGGCTGCTTTGGTCCATACAAATGAATCTTAATGGGCCTACCATCTGCCCGTATCCCCTTATGAACTGTGTATAGCACTCAGAAAGACCCAAAGTAATGAACGTGAATAGATGTGAGTTGAGGCCAAAAATCCTCTTAGGCACTCAGAAAGACCCAAGTAATGAACGTGATTTTTTCCAAAATCACATTTAGATTCTTTAGCAAATAATTTGTGATGGCACAATGCAGCTAGTGTAGTTTTGAGATGCTCTAAGTTTTTTCCTATGAATTTTCAAGTTTCCTTAGTTGGTGCAGCAACTAGAAAGCATTTAAGTGATCAAACACTGCAATAGTTAAGAAAACATTATATAGCCCATCAAAAACTAGGGAATGGGTCTCTGCTCCTTTAATGCATGAGGAAGATACAGAGACTATGAATATGTTAAATAAAAAGATGAAAAAAACAAACATATTTAGAGATGGGGCACATGTTATTTCAAATGGAACAAAGATATAGAGAGGAGACAGCATCAAAGTAGGTATTGCAAAGAAAAGGAAAAAACTGAAGAAGCAAAGCCCTAATTATGTCTCTTTAAGGTGTAGCTTGGTTTTTTATGTTACCCCTATACACCTTTTCAAGCATGCTTATACAATATGATGTGATTAACTGCATTACAACTAAAATAATTACACTTTAACATGGAAACATCAAGGTGAGGCTGAGGCATGATGCGACTCCGTAAGAAAGCCTAAAGTATGTCAAACACTCGATAACCAATCTTTCCCACCCAAAACTTGGTTTCAGTGAATTTTGACCTTCATTTGTTAAGAAGCATTGTAGTCATACAACCACTTTTATTTGCCACACTTTCAGTCAAAGTTTTTTTTCTTTCCCTGGAATCTTAAAAATTATACAAATTTTACGATGGCAGGTAGTGTAAGAGGTAGCCAGATCACAGCCCAAATGGCAGGGAAGCACTTCATTTATATTATATCTTCTAAAGACTATAACCATAAATGTACACCACAGTTTGACTTAAACTAAAAGAATCAATAAAATAAAATGACTTGAATCTGGACGCTCATCAGTTTAAGACTATGATTTAGAACCTAGTATGTTTATCTGACCCAGTTACCACTGACTTGCACTTATATTTTCCTTTTTCCAAGTTGCACTTCAGATTACTTTGTGTGATGATCAAAGAAACATAATAAAAAACAACAGGAGGTCCAATCTGTACCTTACACTCAAGCTGAACTTTTGCAACCTGCCTTGCGGTCTCTTGTAATTGAGTAAAGAGCAAGCCAAGCTCTTCTCTGGGCTTGTGGGCATCCTGAAGCTTCTCCTGCCACACAAAGCATGAGAGAAGTGACACCATTTCTTCAATGGTAATGTCCTTTAACACCCCATTGAACATGAGCTCTGTCAGTGTCAACTCTTCTGCACTAGTGATCTCACAAGCAACTTTTCCCTTCAACTCCACAACATCATCACTTGCAACATATCTGCAATATATTCCATTCAAACATTTCAATGTGACACCTAAAATAAGAGAGAGCTGTGGCAATCAATAGTTTATATTTAGTAGGCCGTGATTATCTGCTAAAAATATGCATAAATTCATGTAATTTACTAACCACCCTAATGGAAATTATTTAGCCAGAAAGTAGCTAGTCAGCCTATAAAGGTTCATCATTTGTGTTCTCTAAATATCCTCTATTCTGACCAAGTGGAAGGGTGGCATTACTGATCCAATAAGGGCCATTACCCAATGTTGATCCCCACTATTCCGTGTCTTAGGAGGAGTGGACTGGGTACGGACTGAACCTTGTGCCCTTTTTGCACAAAGTGGTTGCTCTCAGAATGAAATCCATGTTCACATTCTTGTCAGCATGGGGTTTTATTACTGCACCAAGTAATGGCCCCTAATGGCAGTTACCAAGCACTGCAGAGAGAGATAGAGAGAACATATAACAGGATAGCCTTTTCTTTGCCATCTTGAACAGAATAGCAATGAGATGTAATACAAGAATGAAAACTGTTGAAGATTAATTAGTTTTATGATGTTTTTCTGAGTAGATGTTTTATGTTAGTTGTTAGATAGGAGGTGGGGACCACAGTAGATATGTGAGTCCAAATTTTATGGTTTTGAGTGTTATATATGTTGTTTTATGTTTTGCCACCCTATAAGGGCATAGTTGTCTTTGTACTGTTCTATTATTTTAGTATAAATAATAAGTGAAGGGGGCGGCTAGATTATTGCTCTCTTTTCTTTTCAATTTCTCTTCTTCTCTTCTCCTTCTCTCTTCAAGAAACTACTTTCTTTCATATTTTTTTAATACAACAGATTCCTACTTGGTATCAGAGCATCGGCTAGGGTTTCTTGAAGCATTCTCATACAACTCTAGATCAGTCGACTGCATGAAGTAGTAAAGGGCTGATCGATCTGCTATGGATTGCCCAGTTCTTGGAGTTTTTTGTGGGATCTAGACATCAGGAAGGTGATCTACTGTTCGGCATCAAAATCAAGAAGAATTGGAGTACGAGGAAGAGTCCCAGAATTGGGCGCCTAGGTATTGTTAGTTTTCTTTTGATTTTCTGAAGAGGGCGGTTTGGTTTCTGGAATTTTCTAGGCCTCCCGGAGTGATCGACTCACTTTTCTCTCTGTTGGGAGGCGTGGGGAGGAGAGAGATTTCCCTCCAGCTAGGGTTTTCTTCTTTCGGAAGGGTTGGTTTCTGTGTGTGTGATATTAAATTATTTTTTGAAGGTCTCCAATCTATTTTTTTTTTTTACTGTTGAACTGTTTGAAGTAAAATGGAGAGTTGGAATACCGAAAAAAAATCTACCGATACTGAGGGAAATTAGGGTATCTCATTGGAGTGGGCACAATCAGCTAAGATGGCTATTGGTGCCCGTGGAAAATTAGGGTATCTCATTGGGGAGGAGAAGAAACCTGATGCAAACACTTCCCGATGGGTGCAAGAGAATTACATGGCAATGTCTTGGCTGTATAATTCTATGTTACCTCATATTGCAAAAAATTTCCTATGGGCTAATATTGCTAAGGAGATTTGGGATGGAATGACTGAAACCTACTCTCAGAAACAAAATGAAGCCAGAGCCTATCAGTTAAGAAATTAGGTGATAAGTATGAAACAGGGAGAAAAACCTCTTG